GCTTTTATTCTCCTATAGTTCTAAAAAAGAAAGCAGCAAAAAAAAGTCAAACGTATACTTAGTAATACAGTTTTTTTTTTTTAACTTTTTTAACTTTAACATAAAAAGCTAGCAGATTTATAGAGAAAACAAAAAGAAGCCAAAAACAGAATAAAGTTTCCATTTTTCCCAGTGCTCAGCAGAATAACTGTACCGGCTACTTAAAAGTTATTTTGATAGTTTAACCCCATAACTTCCGTGCTACTCTTTAACCTTCCAGGGCCCACCCGTGGGCTATAATAGCTATAATGACTTTAATGACTAGAGTTATTACCCTTTTAGATGCAACACTGGCTGTGTTGAACTGACAAATCTTATATATGACCAACAAGTTGGTAACAATTAGTAATGAAAAAAGATTAAATTCCTTGCTAGCAGCTGGGGGAAAAAATGAAGCAAGAAGTAAAGTTATCTCTGCTGAGAATCTATATCTCCCACGGAGTGCCAGAGGGTTTAGAAAGTCTCAGAAACCTAGAGAACCACTTACTCGCCATGCTCCGTGCTGAGGTCTGCGGGACAAATGGTGGTGCTCTTTTCATATGAAAAAAGTGCTTCTGAGCATAAGAGCGCTGTTACCCATGCTGCAAACCCTAGTGGGGATGCACCCCAGTAAAAAGTGAGCTACCTTTACAATACAGAAAAAGGCAAGGCAAGTTTATTTATATAGCACAATTCAACAGCGAGGTCATTCAAAGTGCGTTACAGAGACATTAAAAAACAAAAACAAATAAAAAGCATGATTTAAAATGGGAAAAAAGAAACAGTAGATAAAATCAGTAGTTAAAATGTAAGTTTTGAAATTTAAGCTTAAAAGTGTGGATTTGGTGCTTTATTCAAATGCAGCTGACAACAGGTGAGTCTTCAACCTGGATTTAAATAAACTGAGTGTTTCAGCGGATCTGAGGCTTTCTGGGAGTTTGTTCCAGATATAAGGAGCATAAAAGCTGAATGCAGCTTCTCCGTGTCTGGTTCTGGGAACTGATAAAAAACCGGATCCAGATGACCTGAGGGATGTGGAAGGTTCATACTGGGTCAGGAGGTCACTGATGTATTTTGGTCCTAAACCATTCAGAGCTTTCATTCAAAAGCTGCAGTTAACCCACTAACCCAAACCCTGCTTTGTTGTACAGCCCTCTGGAGAAGCTCTGTTCATGTTACGTGGATACAGAGATGTCCTCTCCCAAAAAGAGACCTTATAGGTCTGTCAGGCTGTTATCAGTTTAATGTATGTGTCTGAAGAAGTGTATGTACGATGGGTGTTGGTGCTGGCATCTTTAGATTTGGAATTGGCACTGTGCAAGAACATGAAATAGAGCTTTCTAAAAATGCTTCAGATGACCGGAAACTCCTATTATTCCTACAGCGTAACCTTCCATGCTTTTTAAGTCGTTGTGGTATGCATCAGCCCGACATGTAGCTAGATTTCTCGGGAGGTGCACGTCAGGTTACGTAGGTGGTTGCGGTCCAGGGTTAAAATTGGGTTGCAGTTATGGCGTGAGTTACGACGTAGATCTGACTCAGCAGTATGATTCACATGTAGCATGAATCTCAGACCCTGATCTTTTCCAGACTTCAAGCAGGCAGCTTTCAGTGAGTTGATGTGAGACCAAAAAAAAAAAAAAAAAAAGGGTGGGTTCAGATCAATACTACTAGTATTATAAAGCTGGTAGTCCTGGTCACTTTTCACACTGCAGCGTTGCTTTATTCCTATTATTGAAAAATCTGATTGTCATTTATTGTTTAACCTTTATTGTTGAGTTATTTTGCCAGAGAGTAAATGCTCAATATCTGTTCATTTTATCACGGGAATTGAAGGAAAGGTTTGATGTAGTGAGCGCTGTTATTGGACAAGGGGGATAAGGATATAACAAGAGGCTTTACTTATGCAAGTTATTAAATCTATCCCTATTGTTCTGCTATCATGCCCATCCCCTACTTTTTCCACTGAACTTGGGGGGGAAAATAATATCAAAACAAATTTAAAAGATTACAAGCATAACACTTGTGATTAATATTATTTAAGGTGAGAAGGTCAGGCGCTCTGCTTTCCTCTCAAAGATGAAAGGCAGTAACAATAGGGACTGCAGAAGCAGCAGAGTCTGATGTAGCCTTCCAGATGTGAGATACAATCTGGAGATTAAATCTTTAAACGTCTCTCATAAAGGAAATGGAGCATGCATCGAGCAGTGATCTCTCTGAACTGTGTCTTTTAAATGATATCAATTGGTCTGGTTTTCAGTGATGAATTACCGTATGGTATGAAAGCGAATTGTTGGTGCCTAAGATGCTTCCTGCGCCTATAAAAACACAAGGTCAGTCAAATCTATTGGACAGATGATGGTAGCAGCTGCTCTAAATCAAATCAGAAAAGAGGGAGCTGTACTGGCTGGTCTGTCCATGAAGCTGCATGCTTTTTTTTTTTTGGTAATAAGTTAAGACTTTCGGTGTATTCGTTTTCCCCCGTGGCCAGAAACGGTAACAAAGATGGAAAAGACCAGTGACATTTGTCTGTTAAGTTATTTGTTTACTGCCAGGGAAAGAACAGCAGTGCGTGCATAACTATGAAGTGTTTCATCTCTGAGATGCGTAAGAAAATGTCTCTGAAGTTCACGGATTAAACTAGTTGATTAATTTTTCTCTTTGATCTTGTTATCGTAAGGCAGAGCTGCAACAGCAGGTCGACGGGATGGGTTTGTATAGATCTGAGCTGTTCTACAAAAGCTAATAACATCAAGAATACAATACAGAAACGCACAGCTTTTTGCACGGCGTTTTCTCTGACTTTCAGGATTAGCAGAGGAGGTCACAGCAGCACTGTGTCAGCATCTGAGCTCTGAATCACTATTTGTCTCCCTCTATTGGCTAAATTTATCCAAATATGATGACTTAAAAGGACTTTGTAAACATAGGACACATTAACAACACCCCCAGAGTAAGTAAATGAGTAGGTTTAGCATTCATCTTTTGCCCTTTAGGTAGGCCTGCTTCCCCATAAACAATATTCTGTAACATTAGACTTCATGTACAAGTAGAAATAACTTAATCTCAAATACGGGTCAGGATTGCTGAAAGACCTATTACATTTAAAAAAATAAAAAATGTTATCACTGCTACTCATTCCTTTTTCATGTGTCATTAATGATGAATAAGGATTTCGGACAAAAGAAATAAATACATAAGGCCCAGCGTTCATGATTATTTGCATAAACCACAAAGGAAAAAAAAAGAACACTTTTATCAATAATCCTTTAATATATGAAAGAGGCATGTATTAACAGAATATACAGTGTAACAGACCAAGTCCCACAGTTTTCATTTACAACACTTCTTCACGAGGTTACCCCTCGGTACTCCGAGGGGTAACCTCGGATCGGAAAAATACGGCTGATTGTGGTATTATTCTGCTGTTATCCACAAAGCTTTAAACATAAAAAAACAAAGAAAACAGAGGATCTTCAGAAATTTTTGTAGTGGTTTAGATCCGACTGACAAACAAACAAGTTGTCTTCATAAATGTCATCTCTGTAAAACCCGCCAAATCAACACAAATGCGTTTTCATACCAGCTCAAACCACAAATGTGTTCGATTTGGGAACGTCGGTACTAACACGTGTGGTATTGCTGTTCATATGCTAGCAAACGAGCCAGTTAAGCTGCATTCTGTGTAACATGAGCACGTGCACACGATGAGGTAAGACGTACAAATGTCTGATGTGCTGCTCATTTCTGTTAAACATGCTCGCAGGACATGTCATCCGACGCACTTGGCAGCCACTCTGAATTATACCTGTAAAGCAATTTTTAAAAGGCTCCTTCAGATAATTCAATCAGTACAAATGAATAATCAATAATGGTTTATTCCAACCTGAACAGACAAGTTTGTGTATTTAAAGAAAAAGATCCACATATTCAGCTACACAGAGAAACCAGGACGATGTTAACTGCTAATTAAAAAGGTTTTGTGAGTGCATATAAATGTAGGTCCACACACACACACACACACACACACACACACACACACACACACACACACACACACACACACACACAC